GATCTCCATCTTGATAGTACTCTCTCACAAAAAAAATCCTTCAAAACTTCCCTAAAGTTTACGTTATTGCATGCAAATTTCAGATTTGATGGCAGGTGATTGAACATTTTCAACATATTCAGCATATTTAGGAAGTTAGGAATGAGAAGCTTAAGGGTCCCAACGCATCCAGATCTCTCGTCAACAGCTAAAGCCATTAGTCAACATTTTATCAAGTTAGTCGAAATTTCACAACCAATTAATACGAACGGATTGTATAATAGCAACATCTGCAATTGAAAATTAATATTTATTTCTGAGAATTTTCCTCTTTTCACCACTCCCTCTAATCATGCTATACAATCCATCATTCCGGAAGTTGCATCAGTGTGTTGTAGACTGGTAGGCTCTTTTTTGGTTACCTATACCATAAAGGGCATAACGATCTTCAGTATCAGTATCAGTGGTATCGAAAATGATGAAGAAAGGTGTAAATGAACATATGTTTTTTAATTTGAAAAGCTTTAGTATCTTAATCGACCATCACTATAGTTTTAGCTACCAAAATATGAACAGACCACTTCTCAGAAAGTTGGAGCATTATTTGAAATTATTAAGTTGTTCATAACTAGGCATCTTTTACTACTTTTGAGGCTTACATTAGATCATTTTGGCAATAATAAATTGAACTCTTCGGGGTATGCTTGGAGTATACTTTGAGACCGATTATCAATTTCAATTTTATTGAACAGTAAACAAAACCGTAACATGAGTTTCGTTATACAATAGCTTTCTCAGGCAAGTTCATAAGTAGGTGATTACAGCCGTTCCTCGGCCTCCCCTGACCACTATGACGTATTTAATGGAATTTTAATGACTAATTTCATCAAGATGACCTTGAAAAATGTGTCTGGTGAATAGGTGTAGATAACGTCATGAAAAAATGTTCCCCACACCACTTTTGACCTTGGCTGACGTCTCACAACCTTGAGTTATGTGCAGGACTATATGATCTTGAACATATAGGGTTGACCTTGAGATTGTAGCCTCTCTCCAGTATGCGACCTTAAATTTTGGCCTTGAAGGACGTCCTTGATCATGCGTGAACGTGAAGTTTCACCCTGAACATGAAATTGGACTTTGATATTAGGGGGCTAGGTTGTATACAAGGTAAAGCAGAGTTTGAAGTCGTCCTTCATGTGTACTCTGTACAAGTTTGTACAGAGTGCATGTCTGTATACCACGAAGTTCCACCAGCTAATAAGCTCATCAAGTTGAGGTGTGTTGGAGCAAGTCACTGCAGCAGCAGCAAATGAAACCATCACTTTCGCCTCTGCGAATGGAGAGAAACATGTGCACTCTACGAAGGTTCGCCGATTAATGTCTGCTTGTCTCTATGCCGGATGCCTCTTTCTATGCTGCGATAGTAGAGCGAGTGCGTCATCATACGCTACCTCTCGAAGTAAACAGTGCACAGATCTGCACTCCGTGAAGTTCGGACGACCATTGCCTGCCCTTATCACCCTGTGTTAGCATATCAAGTTGACGTTGGCGGGGGGGTTTACATGTGACGACACACCTTTCCACGCTCTTTTTGACCTTAAATGAAGTCATACGACCTTTAACTGTGTTCAAGGTCAAATTTCGATATCATTGTGATATTATAATGGTGGAATCCAATTGTCTAGAGCTGAATGGCCTTGAATGCAAGGCAGTGAGATCGTGTTTGGAAAGTTCTGCAATTTGATGACATGTAAATTTGAAGTTGAAAAAATATTAGGAGGAGTATATTGAAGCGAAGCAAGACATAATTGGTGTACTTGATGAAGTGCTCATCACACCCTTCACCACTCTTGACGTCACATAATCTTGTGTCGTACGTCACATGGTCTTAAGCATGATCTTGAACGTGTGGTGTAAAGTTTTATCTCTTGATCGAACTTGAATGATCATGACGTGTCCTTGTGGCGCGTTTCTAAGCCTATTCGTGACGTCTTTACATGACATTGAATATGGCCTTGTGAAGTCCGAACTTGGTTGACGATCATGACGTCACATGGCATGACCTTGCGAAATTTGAACTTGAATGGCGTATCATGATTGCTACTGGGGCAACAATCCTATTCCTTCGCCTACGACATAACTTAACATATCCCCAAACCAGCACCATTTTTGAGTTAGTGTATGACGCACCAACAATACCCATTACGCCACATGACCTAGAGTCGCGTACCTTTCTTTCTTATGATCGATTGACGGAAAAGTCTTTTCAATCTGGGGGCGATCAAGGTCCCAAACTCGTGTTGGTGTGTGTTTGGGGAGAATATTGAATCATGTTGTAGGTGGAGAAATGACATATGTTGTCGTCAATGATGCTACCTCTAGAGATGGGGAGGTTAATTGAACTTCAAGCATGAGAAATAAAGGAACTCGGCTCAAGGCCATGTGACGTTACGAGTAGTGGTGGGGTACACTAACTTCAGAATCGTACAGGTGTGGGAGGATGTTGAATTATGTCGTGATAATAGAGGTAATGATTCTGCTCTACTGTCGATACGCAGTTCAAGGTCAATATTCAAGGTTAAACTTCACAAGGTCACACTTGAGATCATACGACAACGTTACGAGTAGTTGGGGAAACGTGTCACAATGGCACGCCATGTGACGTCATGATCGTTCAAGATGAATCATTAAGATTGATCTTTGCGCCGCACGTTCAAAGTCATGCTCAAGGCCACATGTGAGTGAGAAGTACATCACAATCTTTCCCCTTCTCAAAGTCAAACTCCACGTTCAAGGTCATATTGCATACTCAGTGACATCCTTCAAGGTCAAACCTCAAGTTCACGTATCGGACACAGGCTCGAATCTAAAGTTCACCCCACAAGTTCAAGATCATATGGTCTTGCACATAGCATAGGCAAGGACAGAAGGGGTGAGGGAGGATGTTTCTATGACGTAATTCACACCTACGCATCATAGACATTTTTCAATGTCATCTTGATGGCATCATCAATCATTAAAATGTCATCAATCACGTCATAGTGCTATTCACGTCAAAGCTATTCTATAGCGTAACACGTGTGTTGCAGGTTTGTTAACTTTTCAGTGAAAATCTCTCAATAGAGTTTACTTGAATATATTCTCTGATTCAGTTTAGAGTCAATCTATTCTCATCCACCAGCAATTTCTTCACTCTAATCCCATACAAGTTCAGATGACACAACTGATTCAGCAATTTTTCGAGAGCTCAAATTAATATTTCTTGTGCATACAGCTCCGCCTGGAAGACGCGGATGTGTATTAATCGAACGGATAATTTTAATGTAAATCTCGACTCTAGCATGTTATTTTTAAATTTTGATTCCAGGTCAGTCTGTAGTCATCCGACAGTATATCTCCACCTCGGGGTTCAAGA